AAAGCCAAAATATAAGTGGTGTACTTCCTGTGTGCAGAACCAACCAAATGCAGCGTACTGTTGGTTATCGAGCCATGGTTGCATGGATTGCACTGCCAGCATATTTGTTGTTTGAAAAGAACAAAAGCTATTTCAAAAAAAGTTAAAACCGTTCCTTTTTAATGATTAGTTACTGTTTATTTATGTATTATTGTTATTGATATCTGTTTTAATTGTTGTTTAATTTTACATTTTATTTATTACTTTCCTATACATTGAGCTTTCATGTCTTGTTATTTTGTGTGTGTGTGTGTCTGTCTGTGTCTCTGTGTGTGAAGTTTATGTATTATACAACAATTTGTATGTTATGTTATTTTTCAGTGGCTAATGGGGATCTTAATAAACTAAACTAAACCCCAGTTCAATTCCCCTTAGGGCCTGTTTACACAAGAACGCTTGTGGGTTAAAAACGACAAGATATTTTATCGGAAGTGCCTTTCGTTTAGACGGTGACGGCGTTTTGGGGGCTTAAAAACACAAAAATCTGAAACCACCCTTCAGAATGAATATGTGTTGCCGTAGTGTTTCCGTCTACACTGCCCAAGACACAAAACTCTGGTCAGATCTGCTCATGTCGTGTACGTGTTTACGTCACATATATCATCCCTTAGTGACACCACCTAGCAGCCTGCATGCATACCCGAATTCCACACACTTTTGCGTCACCGTATGTATGCATGGTCATGAGCTCTGGGTAGTGACCGAAAGGACGAGATCGCGGATACAAGCGCTTGAAATGGGTTTCCTCCGCAGGGTGGCTGGGCGCTCCCTTAGAGATAGGGTGAGGAGCTCAGTCACACGGGAGGAGCTCGGAGTAGAGCCGCTGCTCCTCCACGTCGAGAGGAGCCAGTTGAGGTGGCTCGGGCATCTGTTCCGGATGCCTCCTGGGCGCCTCCCTCGGGAGGTGTTCCGGGCATGTCCCACCTGGAGGAGGCCCCGGGGAAGACCCAGGACACGCTGGAGGGACTATGTCTCTCGGCTGGCCTGGGAACGCCTCGGGGTCCCCCCGGAGGAGCTGGAGGACGTGTCTGGGGTGAAGGAAGTCTGAGAGTCCCTGCTTAGACTGCTGCCCCCGCGACCCGGCCCCGGATAAGCGGACGAAAATGGATGGATGGATGGACGTATGCATGCAGATTTCCTCCTGAAAACGCTCGTCTAAACGCGGAATAAAAGTGAAGACGCAATGCCATTTTTGTGTCTTCTGTTCAGACCGTCATCATATAAATGTAGCCTTAAATATAGAAACGCGTGATACAAAACTGAAAACAGCTTTAAAAATCAGGATGGGGATGCACCTGATTGAAATATGATAGCGCTCTGAAGGGGGAAGGACATAGCTATGGAACATTTCTGGGATAACCAAAACATCTCCATGGAGGCAAGCATGTGGCAGAACCCAAACAGAAAGTTACTTGGCGCATCTTTAAATAGACGGAACAATTATGACAGTATGATCCCAACCTTGTTGAACTGACCAAAATGACCACATTGTATTTCAACTGCTTTTGTTTTCAAAGTGTTTCCAGAGTGTTTAATGTTTAAAACAGATGGACCAAAAACTTGCCGTGACCTGTATCCTGGTTCAATATTACACAGAAGAAATTATGTGTTTCTTTCAAACTACACCAACCTCAACCACATCCTTAACCCGGGGCACCAGACACTACCGAGAGGTCACGAAAAATGGACTAGAGACAACTAGCACACCACGAGTCAATACTGCAGATTTGTATGAGTAAAAGAGACATTCTGGGTCAATTTCAGTCAGTAAAATACATCCAATCGATTGACTTGATATCATGGAACGATATCTGATGCCGGTATCGATATTGGTGCATCTCTATATAATATCTTTTTACTGCAGAGGCTACGTTTGTATGATGACAGTCTGAACAGAAGACGGCTTCACTTTTTATTGCGCGTTTAGACAGGTGTTTTTGAGAGGAAATCTGCGCTAGTCTAGGTGTGTAGATGGTTGCGACAGTCAGGGCATCTGGCATAAAAGCCTGACAAATCAATGAGCAATAGACAAGGATAAAAATATTACAAAACAAAACAATGTGCTGTCAGTAACCACGGCTTTAGTCAAATGTGCAGCAGGTAACGTTTTTGTGGAAGGTGTGTTGTCATTTGTTTTCTATCATGTTAGAATATTGTTCCATAATCCGGGTATCATTCATTTTTTCAAAATAACACCAAAAATAAGAAAACAAAAACCAACCAGTTTCTTCATTTTTTCCCTCCAAATCCAAAATGAAAAAAAAAAAAACGGATAACGATTTGTTTTTACAGTTTTCGATTTGTGTTTAAATGAATAATGGAAAAAACGGATAACGGGCCAACCAGGAAATCGGTTGATCTGATATCATGGAACGATATCTGATGCCAGTATTGGTGCATCTCTATATAATATATTTTTACCATAGAGGCTACGTTTATATGGTCTGACGGTCTGAACAGAAGATGCAAAAGAGGCGTCGCGTCTTCACTTTTTATTCCACATTTAGGTGAGTGTTTTCGGGAGGTGATGCATGTGACGTAAACGTGTACGTGACGTGAGCAGATCTGACCAGAGTTTTGCATCTGGAGGGTGGTTTCAGATTTTAGTTTTTAAGCCCAAAAAACACCGTCACTGTCTAAACGAAAGGCACTTCCGATAAAATATTTTATCGTTTTTACCCACAAGTGTTCTCGTGTAAACAGCCCCTTACTTTTTGAACTTCATTGCTGTTTTATATCCTTTGTAACTCACTAATCTGTTCAAAAAGATACATCTGACGCACTGAGAACAGATATTGGAGCAGCTAAGGAAGAGATATTAGCACAGCACGGTCGATTTGGTTTGATACAGATAAATGAAACAATATCGCTTAGCATTGATCTATTGTCCACTGCTAGTTATTAAAAAAGGTTATCATCAAAACAAAAGGCTATTCTTGGTTCAGGATGCGGTCGGTCATAAAAGTCAAACTGCTCTCATTTCAGGTCGAAACATCCCACTCCTTCAGCAATTATTTTAGAAAATAGCTTTACTTGGATCGCAATTGCACTCCATATCTACAGTACCCGATGTTATAACGTGTATTGATTGGACAGACCATCCCACCCCAAGTTTCACATGTGTGTTTGTATGTCATATGTGGAGACAATACACATACCGTAGTCTAGGATGTAATGACACAATTTATAGAGTAGAAGTCTTGGATCATGGGGAATTAGGTTTTAAATGTTCTTTTATCTTTTGATCCATTCTTCAATTTCAGAACTTGAAAAATCTCACCTGAGGGTCACACAACATTTTCGTGGATGGCAGATCATTTATTTTCCCATCATTTTCAGGGCAACTTGATCAGGGTCGGGGAATTACATATGGCTTTTCACATGTCCCAAGGTTAAGGATTAGGTGTAAGATTAGAAAGGGAGAAGAATGTGGTTCTTAACGTCACAACAAGCGATCCAACGCTGAAACATCTGTATTTTCTACCATGGTATAAATATTTATTTCATTCCCATCTGTCTGTCATCTAATGTGCTTGTTCACTCAAGACAGAAGGCGACAGTTGCTCAGTTGGTTGTGTTTCATCTACTGATCCACACTTTGGCGATACCACAGATGAATACTACTGCCACTGTGTCCTTGGGCAAGACACTTAATTCACCTCACCCCCAGTGTCTGAGTGTGTGTGTGTGAATGGGTGAGTTGTTCCTTGAGCTGAAGCGCTTTGAGTCAAGATGAGAAAGTGTTATATAAAAATGTGACAGTTTCACAAATCTCACTTCATTCAGCTCTTTTGTTGTGAGTGAATTACTTTCTTACAAGTACATCATGTTTCCTCAAGCTCATAACACATTTTCTAGGATCTGTAAACCTCACCAAAGTGATTTAATATAAAAATATAATACTGGATTGGATTGTACATAGTATCTTTCAAGGCACTCAAAGCACTTTACATTACTGCCCTTAAAATCCTTCAATTTTCCCAAAAATCAACAGTGTGCCTTATAATCTGGTGGTCCTTATGTATTAATTCTGGTTATGCTTACTGACTTCGAATCAGTTTTATTTCAAAATGTTTTAGTATGACTTTGGTAAGCTACGAAGCCGCACCACTTGATGGATTGTCGGAGCAATACAGCTACCATAGTCAGGAGCCTTGTGGGGTTGTGTCATTTTGTCTGACAGAAACTGACCGCATCGGCGCACAAGGAGCGAGCTGTTTCGGCGCTTATAGTTTATGCAAATGAGCCATGTGATTTTAAGTTTTGTTTTTGTAAAATGTAAACAAAAGTGCACAAAGCTGCATTAAACACATTATCATTCAACGTATATTTAAGTCCTCCGCGAAGGAAATACAAAAACAAACTTAAATTATCCACCCACATTCACATTCATAATACACATTCATCAAAACAGGGAGGCAACGCCTTTCGAATTACGTCAAGATCTGCCAATGGATCACGGACGCCTGGGCTAAGGGATCAGTCTCAAGTGTCATCCGTTGTTTGTTTCGCATAATGCGCCTTATAATCCGATGCACCTTATCTATGAAAACAGACGAGAGAATTCAACATTACTGATATTGCGCCTTATAATTCGGTGCACCTTATAGTCCGAAAAATACGGTACACAATTTATTTACCCCATACCTGGTGGTGTTGTTAGCTACAACTGTAGCTACAGCTGACCTGGGGTAGGCTGATGGAAGAGAGCCTGCCAGTCTGCACAATCATCACTGTGCAACTAGCAATCACTTAATCAGTAGTGGGCAAAGTGGGTGAAGTGTCTTGCCAAAGGTAACAGTAGGCACCTGGTATTCCCAACGGGCTTTCACATGAATGAAACAAAACTATATCTGTCGTAATCCCAGTTAGAATGTTACTTCTGACCTATTACTATACTACTAGTAAAGTGCAAACATTTCAGCTGAAGTACTAAATATGAATACGTCTGTGTCCTTTACCGCAGGTTGTAGTGAGTAGTGTATGCAGAATCCGGGCTCTGAAGGGAAGTACTCGTCTGATATGAACCTGATGCGGATCTGAGAGCCTTTGGAGAGGTGAGAGGAGGAGACCTGCTCAGAACCACACCAGCGCCCCACGACAGACCGCTCTGACACATCCTCCATCTCCACAAAGTCATACCTGCAGAAGAAGAAAGAGGGTTTTAGATTAGAGTGACCAGACATACCTGTTTACCCGGGTCCGGTTTTAAGCGTTGTGTGCCCTATCCCCAGCCTGATTCATCAACCGGTTTCACTTTGTGGAAACTGTCTGAGGATTCATTCACTCAACGGTTGGCAGGTACTTTTGACTTTTAACCAATCGCTGCTATTTGGTCGTGACGTATGTAATGCACCAAATCCAATAGGAAGAAGTTCAATAACATCTTGATAAAATTCACCAAACATTCTCTTTGTTCCGGCTTTAAATCCTCGATCTCGGGAATCGTTTCCAACACAAAATGTATGGCTTCGTCTACATCCATCTCGACTGCTTTGTTTACTGTTGTGCTGTAACACCAAAGGGACCCAGACAGGCGCTTGAGTTTGACATCATGGCTTCACAGCTCTTTGCTGATTGGCCGGTGCACAGTCTACAACTTCCGGGGTTCTTGTAAACCCTCTAGTGTATTCCGATTCCTGAAAGTTCCCAACAGATTTCTCTAAAAACCAGTGATTTGTCCCAGTTTTGTACAAGAAAGAAAATATCCACCAGCAATAAAGGGGACTATATTGTCCTTGTTTAGTTGTTTTGAGTGAAGAATGGCCAATGTTACTCCACTAGAATCATTTTGATAATTTCAGCCCTGGAATTTCTGATCTTTACAGAACTAAAGGTCAAAGGTAGCTGTTAGTTTGCTTCAAAACTGCTGCATCAGGACATCATGAGGTGGAGGAGAGCGTTTTGAGCTCTGGAGATCTAGAAAAACTAATAATAAAGGATTACTGAAGCATGTGTGACCTCCAGGTTTGCTTTTGATGAAGGTAACGGCATTCTAACACGGCCAAAAACTCGCAGGAATCAATTTCTCATAAGACATGGCCTCTAGATTTTGACATTCAATCCTGAGGTCTCTTCAGCTGAAGCACAAACTGAATATTTATAAGGAAACAACATTTTAAGATTCATGTCAGTCTAAGATTAAAACCATAACATTAATATCAGTCAGTCTCGTCTTAAGATCAGTCCTCCAATATTTTCAACATTCTTTCTACTGCCTCTGGACACAAACACCGGGGGAAATAAAGATTGAACTAAATGAAAACCCAAACACACCTTTAGAAGCACTGTTCCAGACTGCAGTTCTGTTATTACTCCTGTATTTACTGCCTACATTAAGTGCGCACAAATGAACGGAGATTACAGCTTTGTGCGGGGACAGGCCTGGAGCTGTCTGACAAACCACAAAAGACTGATTAAAGACTATTATGGTGATGCTGAAAAATGCTTTTAATTAAACTGAATACTGTTGAGAAATGTTATGAAGATCAAGAATGACCAATGGGTATTTCCAATGCATGAAAATACATAAATGGAGGATGAAGAGGGCTTTGGTTTGTCTCATAAGGGCTACTCTGGAGTGGTATTGCAGTCCGGTAATACACATAATTGACTCCTGTGAGCTTCGATGTTGTTACCTCATCAAAAACATACTTGGATTTGTGTTTTGTTTCATTCACACATCTTCAAAACTCAAAATTCTCTGTTCCACCTTGTGATATGATGCAGCTGTAGTTTTAAAGTTACTTTTTTCCTTTAGTTTGGTGGAGAGGCATTTCCAAGGTTAAAATTATCCAAATGATTTTAGTGAAGGTGTAAGGAGTTTCCTGTATTCCTTTATTACCGCATGACATCACAAAGTTGAACAGAGTGTTTTCGGTTTGAGAAAAGAACCTAAATATTCAGGGTTTGTGTGTTAAACATGTGTGAATGAAACAAAACACAACTCCAGGTTTATATATACTTTACGTGATGAGGAAACAACATAATAACAGTTCAGAAAATAGCACAATATGGGACCTTTAAACTGGCAGAGTGGTTAGTTGCTTATCTGAGTTTTACATTTCAAACTGGTCCTGTTCGTGGTCTAGAATTCAAAGATTCTATAAGGAGTCTATATAAGGAGTCTATAAAACAGAGCAGAGATATTAACTATAAAGCAGGTCAACCAATCTGCAAACTGATAGCAAATACCACCACAGAATTCTGTGAATCCCTGTGAAGTCTTTTCTTTGTAATCATTTGTGTTGATACTTTTCTTGAGTAACTTCTAAAGTAAATGTTAAGCTTACAAAAACAGATATGTAGGTGTAATTCTATGTAAAACCAGTTAGTTATCACCAATCAGAGTAAGTTAAGAGGCATGTTCAGACCATCAAGGTACTGAAATATTTAAAAATGTGGTAAAAATACTGTATAAGTTCATAGAAACTTTACACAATTTTCTAGGGATCAAGTGATATATTTTATTTTTTTCATGACCCATGCTGATTAACCAGACTGCCGCCACCTAGTGCCTCCGCTCATTTTCATTTCTCTCCAGCGACGGTTTGCAAGAACCCCGGAAGTTGTAGACCACGCACCGGCCAATCAGTGAAGAGCTGTGAAGCCATGACGTCAAACTCAAGCGCCCGTTTGGGTCCCTTTTGCGGTACAGCTCAACAGTAAACAAAGTGGTCGACATGGATGTAGACAAAGACAGACATTCTGTGTTGGAAACGATTCCCAAGATCGAGGATATAAAACCAGAACAAAGAGAATGTTTGGTGAATTTTGTCAAGGGGAAAGACGTTATTGCACATCTTCTTCCTACGGGATTTGATGCATTACATACGTCATGACTAAATAGTGATTGGTTAAATAAAAAAAGTACTCACCTACTGTCAAGCAAACAAATCCTAATGCTGCCAGGTCAGATGGTTTCCACGAAGTGAAACCGACTGATGAATCAGGCTAGATGCTGATTCCGATTGTTTAGAATCCAGAGCAACTAATGGGCCATAAGATCTGCTGATGTTTTTGGGGCCGAATTAGATTTGTGTAAATTTGTATGAACTAAAAAGTCCTCCACAGCCCTTTTTTCACCACAAACCCATAAGAGAGCTGTCTAGTCATGTTTTCAGAAGTTATTTCTTTACATTTAAATATTTGTAGGCTACAGGTCACCCAGAACAAAATATCAGTCTGTGCTGGAGATTTAAGACTGATAGCTGATAGGCTTAAAAGTCCAAATATCGGTCAAATGCTATATAGGGCAACCAATGTCTATCTCTGCTATTTTCAGCAGTGTCAGAAGGTTCACTTTTGTCTTGCTAAAATTCTAAAATCCATCTTCCAGTTCCTTACAATAACTTGACTATCTTTGCTTCAGAGTGTGCAGATCAGGACACATCCCTCACTCGTTGCCAAAAATAATATTAAATACTGTATTGATACAATGATATTAAATCATGACTTTTTGACATTTGGCTACTGCTAAGCTAACATTTCTGCATAATTTCCTTGAGTAATCTTGGTCTTTTTTTTTTTTTTTTTTTTTTTACTTTACAGCTATTTGAAATGAATGAATAAGTAAGTACATGTTTTGCTGAAAGCTTTACATTTCCTTCTTACACATCGTACATCAAACTCAGCTACCCTTTAATTACAGACATGGACATCCCCGCCATCCCATAATACCAACAAACATTAACCCAGTGGCATGGCTCCAGACGTGTGCGCTGTGCCAATGCAAACAGTGCCCAACCTCCCTACCCTCAAGTCCCATAGTTCAGAAGTTCAGTCTCTCTCCTGTGCCCCTGCCGTAGATCCAGCCCTCAGTACAGCCTTGTTCCTTTGCTGTCTCTGGTCCTGGATGAATCACGGGCCCGTTTGCTTACACAGTTACGCTAAGCTGACACGCAGAGCTGCCCATTCGGATGTTTGGACTATGGGCTCTTTGTTTACGTTGCGCGCAGGTTTGACGGATTGAGTTCAAGGTTGTTTCTGTAAAGTAACGTGGACACACAGAAGTGAGATGGGAAAAAATTGATCAATCCATGTACAGAGCAGAGTCCTACATGGGTCCATTTTTGGAGACCCGCTCCCGCTAATTAACCTGTGATAATATCAAAGTTAAATCCGTACCCACCCGAGCCTGTGATAAATTGGGGTCAGCCCATTAGTCCAACAGCCCATTAGTCCAGGACTAAACCAGGACTAAAGCAGGACTGAAACTACACAGTGTCATTAGTGGATTATAAATATATACACGCCACAACCGTAGAGCCGATCGCCAGGACTACACCAGGACTGGACCAGGACTGGACCAGGACTGGACCAGGTCTACACCAGGACTTAACCAGGTCTAAATCAGGCCTAAACCTACACCGTGTCATTAGTGGATTATAAATACATACACGCTGCAAACTGCAGAGCCGATTGCCAGTACTACACCACGACTGGACCAGGACGGAACCAGGACTAAACCAGGTCTAAACCAGGACTAAACCAGTGTCAATATCATAAATATATACATGCCGTAACCGCCGAGATGATTGCCAGGACTACACCAGGACTAAACCGGGTCTAAACCAGGTCTAAACCAGGACTAAACAAGGAGCGCAGCCGCCGGGCTGATCACCTCCGCTGGTGGTTTTATGTAATAAATACACTAAAGTTACTCTCTCAGCCTGGTCTATCGTTCGGGAAAAGACCAGGAAATGGTGCTTGTTTCCAGGGCAACGGACGTCCTGGATGTATATTTTTCTCCCGTTCGTCGTTCATTTGATTCACCTGATCCGCCCGTGTGTAATCACTACCTGCCCACACACCCGCCCATAAAAATCCAGAAGGTTTAAACCCGCAACTATTTGCAGGTACCCGAGTACGGAACAGAGTTTGCAGATAATGGATTGGGGAGAAAGTAAAAAGCGAGAAGCAAAAGCAAACCATGAACTGGATCCCAGCGCACCAGCTTTACTTCCTTGTTTGTAGACGATAAAAGAGCTTTCAGTGTTTGGATTGCCGCATTATTTCTGAGTTCATAAACTCATGAGAATTCATTTGGTCTGGCTGAACCAAAACAAACACGGTGTCGCCGTTAGACATATTTTGGCCTATTTTAGCTAAACTATTTTGTTTGTGAAAAATGTGCAGAGGGA